ATATAAAGTGATGTTTATAAAGAGCAAGTTTTTACGCTCTAAGTATGTAATCATTTTATAGTCATTGTATCTCCATATTTTAGGGTTTTTTGAAAGTTCTTATTTGAAGTTTTAAGTTGAACTCTGCTTCTTGTAAAATTGATTTAATTTGTAGACAATTCTTATGTTTTAATGATACTCAATTCCAGAAGGGATTGAAGAATGTATTTGATGAGGCAATTATGGCTGCCTTGGAGCCTCCGCCGATGGAGAAGAAGAAGAAGTGCACTCTGCTGTAACTTACAGCCAACTTTTTAAGCGAAGCAAATTGTCATAAAATATGCGTCAATAATGTGCTTGCTTCCGCGTGATTTGTCTTCGCCACTGTCGATCCACACTCATTCACTCATACATCATATACCTTGCGAATAGCTCGAATTAAGCCCTGTAATTCCTCTAATTGCGTGTACACTCTGGCGCGTCTCCGATTGATTAATATACGATCAGAATAATCGTTCTAGGCACAAAGTTGCTTAGCTCGGGAATATATATGTATGTTCATCTATCCATGTGTTGACTGCCTTTGATTATAAACGGTTTTCAAGGAGAGCCTGTTTGTCAACGGTTGTCTTGTACGTACGAAAGTTTACTGCAAATTAACATCTTGTCAAAGCATTGTTGCACTATAAATATTGTATAATACTTGTTACATCTCAATAATTATGCATACTTTTGAAATCATGACTTAGACATCTAGACTATGAACCGACTAGACTGCTAACAGGCAACGATCATCATAGAGTACAATGAGCATGGAATAGTTGGCACCGAATTCATAGAAATTATGGAATGAGCGATATATACTGGTTAATTGGGCTGCTCGGTAAAAAGAAATATGAGGATCACATAAAGTAAGTAGAAGAGAGGAAACATTATGCCAAAATAGCTCGAACTGACTTTGGTGTAGAGGCTTGAGTGAAATGTTTTGAGGTGTATCGGATAGCATTGAGAAGAGCATCTGTCTGGAATAAAGGTAGTGTAAACAACGAACACAGGGTTTTATTCCTGCAGGTCTTATTCAGTATTTAGTTAGTCAAACACGGACTATCGTATCCTCAAAAAGAATTAAGCGTCGAATCAAATCACATAGGGCATCTTGCTACATTCGTAAGTAGTTTGATTTTGCATGGGTAGAATCAAAATGATATCACGAATTGCTAACTAAGAAATATTATTATGGCACACCATAAGTTGGCTATATGACAGAACAGTGCAAATTCATAAATGATCATTGACAGACTTCAACTTCTGTAGTTAGCTATCTGTGTGAGCAGCGTGGTAAAATCCCTCTTACCTTAACAGTTACTTGGTCAAATTTTTGCGCTCTTACGAGTTAGTTTTTAAGTGCTGAGATCAGGACACATTAACATAAATAAAATAAAAGTTTCATTAATTTTGCCAGTGCCTAAAGACTACTCCCTTTCTCGCCCATCTCTCTTTCTTCCAAAAATGACGAAAACAAAAGCAAACCTGCGGCGGTTGTGTTTGTTCCTTGACAACGTTGACTACTGCGCGGAGATTAATGGGTGATTCTCGTACAAAAGCCCCATTTTCGTCTATATGGTCGTAAAGAATGAGACAGCCGACCATTACTCGCACGCAAAATAGTCGTGTTGTTTCTGTCACACGAGATTTCACATCGGGTGACTCCACCATATAACGACATACACTGAAAAACATGTTCCATATAATTTTTGCTAAGACTAGTGGCGAAAATTGGGTTCTATATATTCATAAACTCAGAAATAAATAAGAAAAAATTCTGGATGTTGGCACCCCATAAATGAACACTATAGCCTTATGAAACAAATAGGAAGCATGATATGTCCATCGAAGATATGTGTCAATTTCAATTTACAGAAATGATATCTGAACAAACTTGACGATAGTCGCTAATGTGTCTGTAGTATTTCCGATGGGAAGTGTTGGATGTGAGCGAACAAACTCGAGGGTAGCAGAACTCAAACTCGACAGCATTGGGGTCGGAGCAGCAAGAAATAAAGAAATTGAATTTGCCAGTTCAACGTCGCTTAAATAATATAAAAATCTTAGAAGCAAAACAAAATGAAAAAAAGTTGACTAACGATGCGCTTGTGCTTAGCAAACCCAGACCAATACCTCGACGGTAATGGCTAAAATCGTTCTGAAGTGCGGGTGTGCACATCTGCAATTGATTATATGCAGCAACTCCTCAATTGGTACCGAAGTTACGAAGTTATTAAGATGTTCTATCAGAATGGATATCTAATTGACTTGCTTAGACGGCAAAAAAAGGTAACAAATGACCTTAGCGGCGTCGAAATCTAAGACAAAATCGACCAGTCGCGCAAGTTGACGTACGAGTGACTGCTTCCGATCGAGCTGCTCCTCAGGAGGAAGAGGACCAGAGCAAAGATCCCATAGTAACTCTGGGACAAGCTGAAAAAACGATTCATCGTCCATATAAGTTTGCTGATTCATCCGCAGGAGATGTCAAATATGTCAGAAAAGATTGCATTATTTATATATTTGTTCTAAACAAGATTAAGAGCGATGCATTGCCATGACTTCGCGACCTGTATAACCATATAATTGCTTCTCTAAAACTGGCTAAGTACTGCGCGTTTACCCCGTTTCAAGTTACAAAGCATTTCTTATTTGAGCAGGGGACGTACAACATTCGGAGGACATTTAAATTACAGACAAATTGACAATTTCACCTTCTCTATTCGGAGAGAAAGTTCGAAATAGCATCGTATCCGCGCGACGAAATCCTCTACAACACTCATGGTCAGATCTCGTAAAGCTAAGTCATGTGGATTTTGAAGTGACTGTCGTATTTCTTCCGTAGCTCCTAAAAAAGGTAGGATGACTCGTGATGTCATATTAGCACATTTTTTTCGACAAAGCAGTTTCTGTTTGAAGAACGCCAATTTGAAGATACCTATCGTCCGTGTATGTATGCAACTAACAAATAAGTACGACGATGACGCTCAGATTTGTCATTCTACGTGGTGTTTCACTGTTAGAAGGAGATGTCGGACCATTACGACCAAGTGCAGAAGAACTTACTTACACAATTATTGTGGTTAAGCTAATTTAGCTATGAAATGTTTATTTAGCAAAAGTTGAAGATGAGGATTCATACGCTTCTTCAAAAATTTTGATTGAGAAGTAATATCTG